TTGCCATAACACTGTGGCGTTTAGCAACTTCTATTGAATACAGAAGTCTAGGTCACATCTTTGGAGTCGGAAAAAGTACTGTGTGTCAGATTGTCAATGAAGTCTGCCTTGTGATACAAGAAGATCTTTTCCCTGAGTTTGTTTGTATTCCGCGCGATGCCAGGCTTAAAGAAACCATGCGGATTTTCGAGGACAATTGGGGGTTTCCGCAAGTGTTCGGGGCAGTGGATGGGTCGCATATACCAATTTTGTCGCCACAGGACAATCCGAATGATTATTTTAACCGAAAGGGTTGGCACAGTTTGAACATCCAAGCAGTTGTCGACCCGAACTACATGTTTATTGACTTAAATGTTGGGTGGCCTGGCAGTGTTCATGACGCGAGAATACTAGGAACATCATCATTTTACCGCAAAGCAGAACAGGGCATCCTTGTTGAAAATCTGAAACAAACTATTAATAATGTTGATATCCCTCCATTAATTCTCGGAGATCCTGCTTACCCTCTGCTACCTTGGCTTATGAAGCCGTATCCTGTTAATGCGAAAACTAATCGGGCCGAGAAACACTTTAACTATCGCCTGAGTCGTGCACGGGTAGTAGTCGAAAATGCTTTTGGGCGACTCAAAGGACGATGGCGAATTCTACTGAAACGGGTAGACTGTCATTTGGATAATATTCCGTGTACTTACTATCCATTAAATCCTCTTCCTGCTCATTGGATTGGTCATCCTCCACTACTGCCTCAGCCGATGACGATTCCAGCAACGCTGGTGGGTTCATGCAAGGACGCCTTCCCAATACTTCGTCCAGATCATTAAAGTAGCTGCACGTTGTGCGCGCTCTTCCCGATCTGTTGTTGTTATCAACAACTTTCTTGTACGTGTTTCTTAATCTCTTGAGGCGATTACTCACTTGCAGAATAGATTTTATTATGATCCCTCGCATTGCCAGTTTTTCTGCGATGTCTTGATAGACTACTCGATTTCTCGATGTCCCCGTTAGTTGTTCATGAATAAAATCAGTTTTCCAGATCTCCAAAAGAGCGACGTTCTCCTCGTGTAACCATAGTTTTGCTCTTTGTTTGGCCATTTATATATTTATACTAGTATATTAGTGAAAATACTGAAATGTGTAGATCGAAACTGTTGTTATTGTGACTATAGGCAATGCCCGTTAAGGTGGTCAGAACTTTGACTAACAAAATGCTCTACCTTTAAGAAACATTGTAAAAACAATGTATAAAATTTCTCTGATTAGATTTAGATGGAGCCCCTTTGGTTATACATTGTTGTTTTTTTACATTGCGATTGTGTTTTCGTGTTGTGACGTACTAATTCCGACCCGAGTCGCGCGTTCACACGGCAAAAATGAACCAGGACTCGAGTCGTTTTCGACCCGAGTCGTTTTCGAACCGAGAAAACGTCCGTGTGAACGCTCGTCCCGGGACGCATTTGACACGGGTCGTTTTCGACCCGAGTTCCTTCGCATCGTGTGAACGCGGCTATAGTCATAGTAGTGTCTAGTGTGGTAGTTATAGCATATGGCTGCTACAGAATTATAGTGGATATAGTAGTGCAGTAGTTATAGTATTTTTTTATTTATCTAGCTCGTATAGTAGTATATATAGCACTATACATATTAGATGTAGTATATACAGCTGTTAAAATAGCATAGTAGCAGGAGTAAATAATCACAATTTTGTTATTGACACACATTCATTTTACTCATGATAGTAGTTATAAACTAGAGCACTCATGCAGAGAGCGCAGATCTCCGCCAAGGCAGCTCAATTCTGTCACTGTAAAACAATTAATTAATTAATTAATTAATTAATTAAATAATTAATTAGATCCGGACCACCAAAATGTAATCAATTCTAAGTAACCCCATTTCTGACCTATCCTGAAAATTTAATTAATTAATTAATTAATTAATTGGATCCGGATGACCACCAAAATGTAATCAATACTAAGTTAGCCCATTTCTGACCGATCCTGAAAATTATATGACAATCCGTCCATAACTTTTTTAGTTAGGCTGTATACAAACAAACCCACAAACCAACAAACACACGCCGATGAAAACATAACCTCCTGCCAACCTCTTGGCGGAGGTCAATATAGCTGTCATAATAGTATGTAGTGTTATAGTAGTATAGTAGTTATAGTATATAGCTGTTATGATAGTATGTAGCGTTGTAACAGCATAGTAATTATTTTTGTAGTATTGCTGTTTCTGCTCCGAGAGATCACAAAATTGCGTTTACACTTTATATACATGGCAGCATGATACATAAC